TCTCTAAACTCCTTCAAATCCAGACTCAAAACCCTCTTCTTCAGAAAAGCCTTTACTTAACTGGTTCCATTCTTCACCCCTCTGCTCTTCTTAGTGCCACCATCCAGGGTCTCCTCTATATATTGTAATTGTCTTATCTTGTGTATTCTTCTTATTTATTGTTATTGTCATCCTGTAAATCGCTTAGAGAAGCCACCTTTTAAAGGTGCTATATAAAATAAAATTTATTATTATTATTATTGTTATAAAATAACAACATGTTCGTACTGTATGTGCACAGCGGTACCGCAGGTTGAACTGTAGGGCGCAAATCCACCTGAGCCCAAAAGCCCAACATTAATCTGCATTCGCCTGGCGCTGCGCGGTTTTCATCACTCTCTGCGGGTGAGATAAGCTCGGCCCTCACCCCAAGTCCTTGAAGGCACTCTGCACAATGTGGGAGGCCTTGGAGGCGAGGGACGGGGTGCTGCACCGGGGGTGGCAGGTGCCCTCCAGCGGTGAGCTTATCTCACCGTTGTGCTTGGCCTCCGCATTCCCCCCAGTGGCTGCCCTGTCAACCGCCCGGCTGGGCGGCCCGGGATTCAGCTCTGGCACGCTCGCCCCGACACCCGCGGCTCCGACAGGCCCTGCTGCCGTCTCCGCTTCCCGCTCCGGTCAACGTGTGTGCCTGGACACCGTGAGACTGATTTGTTCCCCCTGCCCCACCAACTCTCACCGGCCCAAGTCAAGGCAACCACCCACCTGCTGCAACCAGTCCAACCCCAGGATACAGTCCTCGCGGACTGGGGCAAGGTGGAAGGGGTGTTTCACCCTCGCAGCCCCAAACTGCACTGTGAGCGCCAGCTTGCCGAGGACCTCTGCGTACTGCCCTGTCACCGTCCTTGGGCGTAGGCTGGTGGTTTCCCATCCTGGGGGTCCGGCTGCCTCGGTGCCCAGCAGGACACTAGGCCGCAGTAGGGTGATGATCGAACCAGTGTCGACAAGGGCCTGGCAGGGTCTGCCCTTGATGAGGCAGGGAAGAAATAAGCCCCGGCTGTGGCCAACCCTTCCCACGGCAGCAGGCGGGGTGAAGTGCTCCTTCTGGCTTTCCGTAGCGGGGGTAGCTTCACCCCCTTCCATCCTTTAGGCCACCCTGCTCCCGTTTCCCAACAGCCTCCGGAGTCCCTGGGGCTCCAGCGCCTGGCACTCCCGGGCGATGTGCCCCCTCTCCCCACAGCGGTGGCAGATGACCCACAGTTCTCGCTCCCCTGGCTTCGACGCGCTGGCCATCTCCTCTTCCCCATCTGATTCCCTGTGCGCCGCCTCCGCTGCCCGGCAGTAAGCACCCCACCGGTCTCCTTGAATATGGCATCAGCCTGCTCAGCCAGAGCCAGGGCCTGCTCCAAGGGGACCGGCACGGCCAGCATCACGTGGCGCTGCACCTCAGTCGGCGCCAGGGCCCAGAGGAACGCCTGGAGCGCTATCTCCCGGCGGGCCTACTCTGCATACACCCTACACCCTACACCCTACACCCTGCGGTACCACTGTGTACATAGAGTACGAACATGTTGTGATATTTAGAAATATAAAAAGTGTCAATATAATGCCAATAATTTTTGCTATTTTAGTTTTTCAAAGAAATGTTTATTTGAAATGTTTGAACAACCGACCTCATGCTTATAAGTCAAGTCACTTAAGCTATCATGTCACAGACACAGTGACATAGATACGCGATTCCATATTATATTTCCTATTAATCAAATTCTAAAAGTATGCTTTTGTTTACCCCGATAACGAGCATATTCGCAGAAATGGTTAAAACGATCAATTTTCACAAAGTATATAAACGTACAGTAATATGGTCAGAAGGAGCACGTAAAAACGTTTCTGATACAAACACATGTAAGACTTTGATGTTTCAAATGTTTAGGGAGAAATGGAATACTGCTGTGTATTTGTTCTTTAAACTACCAAGACCAGCCATATACAGTACAGTTTACATTCAGTAATATGTTTATGTTCCTAAATGAATCTTTTATGAGCATGTGAAAGGCATGGGTGAATTGGAGATTTTCAAGATCTACTTTGTATGATTGGAAACGAATGCGTGACCGGATCAACGAAATGCTGTGGTGTTACTTTTTGCCAATGAAAAAATAAAGTTTTTTTGTTTACAAAGATGGTTACAAAGAATGTGGACCAGGGTAATACTTTGAGTTTACAGCTTGTCCAAGGTCATTCATTATTAATACTATTAGTAATATCTTCGGTAAAGACTTTGATGCATAAAATATTTCTGCATAATTAAATTATTTATGATAAAGGTGGTAGGTTGTGTACTTTTGTCCAACTGAGCAATCTTGTTTTCAGAAAATATGCCAACTTTTTAATGTTTAATGATTAACATGCTGTAATACACAGTTTAAATTTAAAAGTCTAAAAAGTATGCTACTTAAATTTTTAATTAAATAAAAATTGTCCCTTAGCAGTAATCGGGATTCAAAACCAAATGTTTTCTGGTGACAGCTCAAATGTTGTACAGGAGAGGTCAAGCTTTATTAGCTCCACCAGCCGGTTTTACAAGGTGATTCTGGATACTATTAACAGAATCTAATTTGCATACAATACAGCGTATGACGTGTTACTACGCCTTTCATTGCGACATGCCCACCACATTGTACCGCAGCATTTCCCGCTCGTTTGGAATGGCTGCATCTGTACCTATAAATTTGAATAGCTGTAAATGGTTAATATTTTTAAAAGCTTCTCAAATCTCTTCTAAAAATGTGATTTCTGGTTATTTTTACAATAAAGCCTTTTGGCCTTAAATAATGCCTTTAGTCCGTAAACTTTTACTTAATAGACTTAAGCAGGGGTTCCCAACCGGGGGTTCGCAAACCCCCAGTGGTTTGTGACAGTACTGCAGGGGGTTCGAGAGATTGTGATGAAAACATCAGTCAAATTAACTAGTCCTATTCATAAATAATGTAAGAATAAGAAAAACAACAGTAGTAATTAATGTTTTACAAAGTGAAAAGAAGCATAGATAGATAAGACTTTGTTGATCCCGTAGGGAAATTGATGCATGTTAAAAAATTGAAGCATGTTAAGATGGTTGCTGTTGCATTTATCTACATTTATTGAAAAGTTTGATTTAGTTAAAATCTCAAGGGGGTACTTGAGGCAAATAATTTAGGTTGTAGCTGACAAAAAAAGGTTGGGAACCCCTGGACTAAATTATAGTAAAACTACTATAGTAATGGTCTGGAAGCAGTTGGAATCATACCTCAGTTGACACCTTTTGCCCGCTGGCAAGGCAGAAACAAGTATTTTTAGGCATGTTCCTTCCTTTTCTAAAGGGTTTCATTTAGTTTCTGATAGAGTGGTAAAGTAGGTTTGGCTAGGAATTAAACTGCAGTTGAGACAAGCAAGTTACTAATTGCCCAAAAAATCACCCTTTGCTATCTCACTCTGGGGCATATCCATCATAATATTAATTGCACAAGATATTTAATGTAAAGTGGAATGAATAAAATTCTTTATAATATCACTTAATACAGAGACCACAACAAGAAAGAAATAATTATAATATAAGCCACTGAAAGTGAACTTGGCAGAAGATGGGGGGGGGACTCAATACAGTGGAAGGTACCAAAATTACAAGGATAAATCTTAAAATTTAAAGCAAGAATTTAGAAAGTTGTGGTCCTATTAATTCTGGTTTCTTCCATTAACTGTCGTGTTTGTACAGCTTTTTGGACTGGTGTTTGGAGAAAACTGGTCTCTCGCAGCACACAAACAGTGGCACCCTAATTCCTCTGTTCTTTTCAGGCCATAAAGGCTCTAAAAGAGGAGAACATTCAGACAGTCCTCATCAACCCCAATATTGCCACAGTGCAGACATCCAAGGGGCTGGCAGACAAGGTGTATTTCCTTCCTATCACGCCAGAATACGTCACGCAGGTAAGCAATGATGAATAGGAAAATGTGATCAAGAAAAAAACCCTTTTACATGTACTATTTACCACTGCAAAAGCTCACTTCCTTGTAGACTGTTAGAACTAAGGTCTCTTGTTCATCTCCAGGTGATCAAAAATGAACGCCCGGATGGGGTCCTGCTTGCCTTTGGAGGCCAGACGGCTCTTAACTGCGGCGTGGAGCTGACGAAGCTCGGGGTGCTGGAGAAGTACAACGTGCAGGTGCTGGGGACACCCGTGGCCTCCATTGAGATGACGGAGGACAGAAAGGTGTTCGTAGAGAAGATGGAGGAAATTAACGAGCATGTGGCGCCCAGCGAGGCTGCTCACACTCTGGAACAGGTAAGCCCTTTTCACAACATGCCTCATTATTCAACTTCTTTAAGGAACAACTGTTTAATTTAAAATGAGCCTGTTTTCTGTGAGAATACAATATAAAAAAGGTATACGCTAGATATGCCCATCCAGTTTAAACTACAGTGGAAAGCCCAAATGGAGTTCAAAGCAGTTCTGCTTAAATCAGTGAGGAAAACTTTAGTTCCTTCTTTTCCTACTCCCCTCTTTTGAGCACCATCTGTCCACTGTTAAGTGGTGAATGTAAACCATCATATAAAACCTTGATGATTTTTCCACAAGGGAGTAATACAAGGCACATTCTTTAATGGACAATTTGTTTCAATTTATTTTGAGAAATCATTGCGATTGTGAATTCGTCCCAGCACCACGGAGTCTGCTTTGGGATTTTTGAACTACAAAAGCCTAAATTATGTTTCTTAAAATTTAGAAACCTCATCATACCACTTTGACACTGCTCTGCCAAGTGTGAAAGACTTGTTCCAGAGGCCACTGGCTCACTTTGAATAAGTCGTGATGCATGTTTTCAGGCTCTGATGGCAGCAGAGAGGTTGGGGTTCCCTGTACTGGTCCGTGCGGCCTTTGCGCTGGGAGGACTGGGTTCTGGGTTCGCCAACAACAAGGAGGAGCTGACTGCCCTAGTCACACAGGCCTTCGCCCACACATCCCAGGTCCTCATTGACAAGTCCCTGAAAGGCTGGAAGGAGATTGAGTATGAGGTGGTGAGGGATGCATACGACAACTGTGTTACGGTACGCTCTTCCCTTTTGATTTCAGACCTGCATAAAGTTATTTTATTGTACCAGTTTGTAGAGTAAGCACTTGCTCTTGCCTGTGGCGAGACCAGGGGTTTGCCATCATGTGGCTACTTTATAGTACCTTCACAAAGTTCACGATTTTGTGCTTTATTCGAAATTTGTCTTTTTTTTCCCCATTTCTGTGAAGTAATTTATTTCATTACTAAGATTTTATAATCGGTCTGTGAAATTAGGACTGCAGTTCCCTTTTAATCAGATTGGTGTGTTCTATGTAGGTATGCAATATGGAAAATGTTGACCCTCTGGGCATCCACACTGGAGAGTCTATTGTGGTGGCTCCTAGCCAGACTCTAAATGACCATGAATACAACATGCTGAGGAATACTGCCATCAAGGTTATTCGCCACCTAGGAATTGTGGGAGAATGCAACATCCAGTATGCTCTGAATCCAGAATCCGAGCAGGTAGGCTTCCGAAGCCCATGTATGTCTGAGCCTCATTTGAGGTTAAAACTTCAGTGGGAATGTATGTTTGAGATTGCTAAGGTCTTCAGGGAATCAAGCATGATTTTTTTTCTTCTCTGAGTAAGAAAATTAAAATACTTGTAATACAGTTATATCATCTTTCATCTTTTAGCAGTAGAAGTGGATCAAAGAGTTTTTTTTGCCCCCCCATTCACGAGAAATTCATTCCTTTTTGCAGCAGTACACAAAAAAATGTTAAAGGTTAAGATGAAGTGTATCCCAGTAAAAGTTCGAGGGATTCTGTTCACTACACCGTAGAAGTGCAGACTCTTATTTTAAGACCGAGAATTGACCATTTGGGTTTAATTTTTCACGTTTTATTTAAATGTTTTTCACTCTTACAGTATTATATAATTGAAGTTAATGCCCGTCTGTCTAGAAGCTCAGCTCTGGCGAGCAAAGCAACAGGTTACCCTCTGGCATATGTGGCTGCCAAGCTTGGACTGGGCATTCCCCTACCAGTCCTTAAGTGAGTATGAAAATATCCTTTTTTCCCAGCCAAAGAAAAGAATGTTTAGTTCAAAAGACTTAACTGTTTTTGTAGATCTGATATAGATGCTGGGTAAAAATGGCATTTTCCTTTGTGACAATCTGTAGAAGATAAAAATTTAACTGAATTTGCTTTTACTCATGATTGGCACAGAGATGTCCAGCGAAACTAATGTACACAATTAAGGCTATAAACCATAGAATGACCCATCTGCCCCAATTGTGAAATTGTTGTTTTTACCATAGTTTCCACACTGAAACGGAAGGCTATGTTTTCTGTTTCTGCATTATTTTTTTGATTGAAAACTAAAGTTATTTAAAAAGAGGGGCACAATTAGAAAAAGTATGCATATCTCTGGGTCCTTTATCGACAAAAGTCCTATGACTAAAAGTTTTGTTTTTTTTAGGAACTCTGTCACAAACTCTACAACTGCTAACTTTGAGCCGAGTCTAGATTACTGTGTGGTTAAAGTCCCTCGCTGGGACCTCAGCAAATTCCTCCGGGTCAGCACCAAGATAGGCAGCTCTATGAAAAGTGTGGGTAAGTCTGGATCTTCTCTAGCAAGATTTGTTAATCTGCTACCAAAAGATTGTGGAGGTATGGCACACGTTACCCATACCTATTGACATTGATGATCTGGCATCTTTCAGGAAATGGCTAGATGACATCCTTGGATCAGTTCTCTTACTACCTAAAGAACCAGACAGACTGAATGGCCTCTTATCATTTGTTTTCTGTCTTCTGTTTTTACTGACTTGTCCTTGGAATTGCTACAATGTTTTTTCCAGCTTCCGGGATTGCTTAATGTAACTCCTGTTAAAAACAACTGAGTCTTTTAGGTTAATCAAGCCTTTTTTTACTCTATACAACATTGTTAAAGGTACAATGTAACAGTAGTACTTATTTGTATTTTAAAACTCATCTGTTGTGTAGCTTGATTTTTTTGAGAGAGTAGATTTGTTTTGACTTAACTTGTGTTGTGAGTGGAATTAGAACCATTGTAAATACGTAGTATCCCTTACTTCAGAATATTCCTTTTCTGCCAAAAAAAAGTCTTGAGGGGGAAAATTTGGTGAACACTAGCAAAGGTAAATGTGTTGAATGAAAAGTGTTTTTTGTCATTGACTGGCTTGTAGAAATTGGGTACAAAGTGCTGTATTAACCCTGTTTCTGTTCCAGGGGAGGTGATGGCCATAGGTCGTAGTTTTGAGGAGGCATTCCAGAAAGCATTGAGAATGGTGGATGAAAACTGCGTAGGTTTTGATCACACAATCAAACCAGTCTCTGATGAGGTAAATGGATGTTTAGTATTATGTACTAATTAAACCATTTTTACTTATTTGAGTATAGAGCAGGAAGTAAGGTAAGCCTTCAATTAAGACATTGTGCAGATGTAATCATTTGTTTTATTGTCCATTATCATTAGTAGTCTTGCTATAGAGTTTCATATAACATTTGCAAATCCCTAATATCTTGCCACACTTCCTGTCTTCCTCAGGAGTTACAGACTCCCACAGATAAGCGTATTTTTGTGCTGGCAGCTGCTCTACGAGCTGGATATTCAGTGGATCGTCTATATGAGTTGACAAAGATTGACCGCTGGTTTCTGCACAAGATGAAGAACATCACTGACCACAGCCTCATCCTGGAATCGTACCGGCAGGGTGAGACTGCCATACTCCCTGAGGTGCTGAGGACAGCAAAGCAGCTGGGCTTCTCTGATAAACAGGTTGCTCTAGCGATACAGAGGTAACTAATTCTTCATGAGGAGACTCAGGAGATTTGATAGCAAATATGGATGTGAAAACTTGAAGCTATTTTTAATGTTTTAATGACATTGGGATGCCTTGAGACATTTTTTCAAACCTAGTTATCCCCAATATAACATTGTTGGCTTGAAGCCTATAGATTAAGACCTGGTGTTGTCATAAGGGGTTGGTTTTGTCTAAGCGTCTTTACTACTATCTCATTGTGTACTGGACTTGTGTTTCTCTCCCTGTGCCCTGGGATCAACAGTTTGCAATACAGGGTATGGCTGCAGGCCACAGGGGAATGACAGAGTAGTTGGAATCAATTCAGAATTGCTAAAGGTGTTACATTGCAGGAGTGTATCTCTTTACCTTGTGTGTCCTCTGTAGCACAGAGCTGGCTGTCAGGAAGTTGCGCAAGGACTGGAAAATCCTGCCTATGGTGAAGCAGATCGATACAGTGGCAGCTGAGTGGCCGGCCCACACCAATTACCTGTACCTCACTTACAACGGCACAGAGCATGACGTGAGCTTCGACGAGCCCCATGTCATGGTGATCGGTTCAGGGGTGTACCGCATCGGCAGCAGCGTGGAGTTTGACTGGTGTGCTGTGGGCTGCATAATGGAGCTGAGCAAGGTCAGTAGCTAGGGCAGGTCTTTAGAAAGCAGCATTCCCAGAATGCTACTGGGGATACTGGGAGTCACGTGCACTGGGCACAGTCTTGAACTGATTTCTGCACTCTAAATTTACCCTGCTTCAACCAAAGTTTCCAGTAACTTCAGCGTTACATACTTGTAAGCTGTTTCAGCTTATCCCTGTTTCAGACCATGCTTCTATTAATTTGTGACCAGTTTGTGATGAGCAAACTCAGGAGGGAGTGACAGCGTGTCAAATATTCTTACAATGAGTGTAATTCAGAACTTGTTTGGAGCACAAACAAGAAGTGTTATTGATTGCCCCAGCTGTTTTAGCCAGCTTAGGTGGCTTGGAATATGTTTAATTGCAGTTGTCATTTTGGCCTGCACTTTAAGCATTTCTTATAAGAAAAGAGCTGTTATATTCATCCATCCATCCATTTTCTAACTGCTTTATCCAATTCAGTGTTAGGAAAGAGCTGAGTCCATTCCAGCGAGCAACGGGCACAAGGCAAGGTAGATGCTGGATGGAGTGCCAGTCACACAGACACACTCACACCAGTGCCAATTTTCCTAGAAGCCAGTTAACCTACCGGTATGTCATTGGACTATGAGAGGAAACCGGACTACCTGGAGGAAACTCGTGCAAATGCAGGGAGAGCATTATTTGAAGTGAAATTGCTAGAGATGTGTCCATCTTCATTTAATTGTTCTGCCCTCTCTCTTTCAGATGGGCTACAAAACAATCATGGTGAATTACAACCCTGAAACAGTCAGTACAGATTACGATATGTGTAACCGGCTCTACTTTGATGAAATTTCTTTTGAGGTAATGTCTGCATTTTGTTTTTGTCTCCTTGGGTTTCTTTCAGTATGCCATTTATGAATTAAAACTTGAGGTGTTTTTGTCATTTCAAGTTTTTGGTTTTATTTTTAAATTTAAGTTGAGCTTAAGAATTTATTCAAAGAAAATGCTGGAAAAGACCCTTTCTGAATCTCTGTTAAAGATGGTATAGAATAGAAAAATTATAGATAATAAACATTTCAGTAAGCTGAGTAGTTTCCAAAGGAAAAGGGTATTTGCATCAAAACTAGGAGAGGCTGATGCTGCTGGAACATTTTGGAATCAATATTGCTTGTAGTATTGTTGATGTTCACGGTTTTACTTTCCTAGGTGGTGATGGATATTTATGAAATGGAAGACCCTGATGGTGTGATCCTGTCAATGGGAGGGCAGCTTCCCAACAACATTGCCATGTCACTCCACAGACAGCAATGCAGGATCCTGGGCACCTTGCCAGAGTTTATCGACTCGGCCGAGAACAGGTTCAAATTCTCCAGGATGCTGGATTCCATCGGAATAAGCCAGCCCCAGTGGAAGGAGCTTTCAGAAATGGAGGTAGAGCAAAACGTGTTTGCACTCAACAAATGTTGCTGTAAACATTTTAGATGGTTTTAGTGTGATATTCAAGAGCATTTTAAAAGCCGTTTGCCATGCGTCCTCACTTTGCTAGAGGCTTCTCTTGCCTACCTAATGGGAGAACTACCATTACGAATGTGATGTTTCAACTGGGCCAAATGCTGAATCCTGTTTATAGATCACTTGTGCCAAAGCAGTGATTGTGTACAACTTGAAAAGGCCTTTTGGTTTGCGAGTGGTTAAATAGCTTGACCCTGCAATCTTCCACCTCTCAGTTAGCCAAGAAGTTCTGTGAGTCTGTGGGCTACCCGTGCCTGGTCCGCCCCTCCTACGTCCTGAGTGGGGCTGCCATGAACGTGGCCTACTCGGACAGCGACCTGGAGAAGTACCTCAACAATGCCATGGCTGTGTCCAAGGAACATCCTGTGGTTATTTCCAAATTCATTCAGGAAGCTAAGGTGAGAAATCCAAGTGATATTGTTTGAGAAGGGTTGGGTTTTTGTAGGAACTGTGGGTGCAGAATTTCTCTGGTTTTAATTCATTCCATACATTTTTTCTAGGCTACTTCTTTGCTAAAATGTCTACTTGTACCCCTTATTGACTTTTATAATAGACATAAATTTTCAATAAAGCATAAAGAAGTGCTACACATTTAAGACATAGTTACACAAATTGTACTTATGACTTTTCTTTCTGCAGTTTACTTTGTCACCAAAGAAGTCATAGGCAGAGTTAAGCCTATGAGGTTTTTGGACCTTGTCTCAAATTGGTAGCTAAGGCTCAATTTAGTAGAACTAAATGGTATTTCTCAGTCCTTTTCATTTACCTTAATTCAAACTCCAGGTTCAAGTCTGGAACTACAGTAGTAAGAAAAATAAATAACTTGACCTTATCTTGCTTGCAACTTAGAAACTTCAAGTTGAAAATGTTGGAAGTGGAGTGTCTAGTAAGGGTTGTTTGACTTAATGGTGATGTGATGTAATTGAGCTCAGCAGGAACAAAAACAGTAAAGGCTGGGGTCCAGCAAACAGAATTTGGAAACCCTCCTGTAGAATTTGTTGGAGATGTTCATAAGATCTTCAAGAATTGCATTTCCAACTTACAAAATGCAGGAGGTTATAGGTAATTGGAATTTCTGTTTTGCTGCTACATAATTCTAAGACCTTTTAGAAAGGACAGTTGATCTAGAGGTGGAAAAATGTCTGGGCCAGCTTGTGACTGAAATCTGGCTTCGCAGGAGATTGATGTGGATGCCGTGGCTTGCGATGGGGTGGTTATTGCCATTGCGATATCTGAGCATGTGGAGAATGCTGGGGTTCACTCTGGAGATGCCACACTGGTTACACCACCCCAGGACATCAACCAGAAGACCATGGAACGCATCAAGGCCATTGTACACGCCATTGGCCAGGAACTCCAAGTTACAGGGCCCTTCAACCTACAGCTTATTGCCAAGGTGAGGACACTCTTTTTATGGACTCTTGAACACATGCAGATGTCTTTCCCCTGAAGATAATGCCAGTTTGTGTGAAATTAGAATGAGTTCTGTTTTTGTTAATCTTCCTAAGATTTTCCTGCTCTGTGCACTAGTGCACAGTGACCTGCGGGCTTCAAATGCTGGAGTGAGTGGTGTACTGAAATCAGTTACATTTGAACTTACAATGGGTGTGTTTAAAGCTATTTCGTATCCCTATGGTGTTACTTATAATCAGAACATGAAGACCCGACAGCTGTAAACAGTCCAGCCCCTTTTTTCAGGGTCACTGTGTCTGAACAGAGACCCTGAAACATAGAGTAGCGCTGATGGATGCTTATAAATCCGCTTAATAGGGAATTAACACCAGTGATGTCTTCAGTGCCACTGAAAACCTGAATCTCCAAGCTAAAATTGTCCCTAATCTCCTGACAGGATGACCAGCTGAAGGTGATAGAGTGCAATGTGAGGGTGTCCCGCTCCTTTCCTTTCGTATCCAAGACCCTGGGCGAGGACCTGGTTGCCTTGGCAACCCAGGTCATCATGGGGGAGGAGGTGGAGCCCGTGGGGTTGATGAAGGGAAGAGGAATTGTTGGTGTCAAGGTAATGATGAGCTGGAGTAACTTCCATCACTCTTCCTCCGGATTTTTCTTTTTACAGTGCTGATTGGTTCGTAATGTACTGTAGGTAACAAATTACACTGCCTGTAGAAAAATAAAATAGTAAATTCCGATAACAGAATACACAATAAGCTGCTGTCAGCTCCTTGGCTGTGTTCCTGGTAAGTTTTCTGAAATTGAAGACTATACTTTTATCTGTAGTTTCACCAGGTCCTTTGAATTATTAATATTTTATCCAAAGTGATATTAAGATAACGTGTAGAAAACTGAGATATATTTACAGTTTAGTTGATCTTAAACATTCTCAGTGATTTGTACCTGAAGGAAGTAAGTCCCTGTAGCTGTTGCTAGTGGTTTCTTTTAGTTGTCTTTATGTTCCCGGTTTAGTGTTAAAGGGGGGACGGTTTTTGCTTTTATCTAGCTTACTCATTTATTTTTACTGATCTAGGTCCCTCAGTTCTCCTTCTCCCGGCTGGCGGGGGCAGATGTTGTCCTGGGAGTGGAGATGACCAGCACTGGGGAGGTGGCCTGCTTTGGGGAGAACAGATATGAGGCCTACCTAAAAGCTATGCTGAGCACTGGGTTCAAGATCCCCAAGAAGAATATACTGCTGTCTATCGGGAGCTACAAGGTAAGTAATTTCTTCTTATACCAGTTCTTGTACCAGAAGTGTGAATCTTTTTGCTGCTAAACTTAGTGCCTTAGTAAGAAAGCCTAGATAACATACTCTACAGAATAGAAGTTATTCTCCTAAACATATATATATATAAAATACTTTATTAACACTTTGTTAATGTTGAAATTCTCTCATTAAATGTTTTAAACTTGTGGTCAAGTTTAAAGGATAAACAGTGTATATTTTAACGTATTCATATTGAAGTTCAGCTTACAGGTTTTCACTTGTTTTTCAGAACAAGAGTGAACTGCTACCTACAGTGCAAACCCTTGAAAGTCTTGGATACAACCTGTATGCCAGCCTGGGCACCGCAGATTACTACACCGAACACGGAGTGAAGGTGAGTCAGGGTGCAACACTTCAGGCTGTTTCTCAACTCGACACCAGAAAAGCTCCAAGCCCTTTATGATCAGAAAAAAAATTAAAAAGCACTCAGAGAAATTCTGCACCCACAGTCTCTACAAAAACCGAGCCCTTCTCAAACAAATTGAGTTTTTCTTGACCACGTGATCTATGGGACTTCAAACCTGGGGTGAAGTCATGATATAATCACCATAGGAACCAAGTAGAAACTAAACACGTTTGTTGGTAAAATCAACAGTATAATTAGTTACTGTAAATAGTGGTATTCATGGTATTGGTACTGTATGTACTTAATGATAAAGGAGGAAAGCCTACAACTTCATCCCATAGCCCTTGGTGATGGATCCAGCTTTCCAAACTGCATTTGTACATTAGCCTCAACTTGTAAGGAATTAATAGTTAGATAAGAGCTGCATATGATAAAGATGTTCTTCTTTCTCATCTACAACTACTATGTGTGGCTTCTACGAGAGGAACTTTTTTCTCTTCATAATCTTATTTTTTTGAAGCCAAAATTTAGGTTGATTTAGGTTATCATAAGTCAACATTTTCAACTAGCTGCACTCCTTTATGCATTACATTTGCAGTGCACTCTGGGATGCGATAAGTGTGATAACAATGGCATCTTATGATTTCATAGTCTTAAACAATTATACACTGGATACTGCGGTACATGTATGCTGCCCCATTCCTACCATTGACACCATGTCTATTTCCAGGTAATGGCAGTGGACTGGCCATTTGAGGAGGAGAGCGATTGCCCAAACAAAGAAAAGCAGAGGAACATCATGGACTACCTGGAGGAGAACCACTTTGACATGGTCATCAACCTGTCCATGAGGAACTCTGGAGGCCGTCGGCTCTCCTCCTTTGTCACCAAGGGCTACCGCACTCGCAGGATGGCCATTGACTACTCTGTCCCCCTAATTATCGACATCAAGTGCACAAAACTCTTCGTGCAGGTGAGGGAGAAACAAGGGAACCACCATGTTGGCTTTTTTCATTTCCGGGTTTTGGGTGGTATATTCCAAATGAGTGTTTTGAAGTTGCTTGAGTGTTTAGTTTTTTCCAAGTTTCGACATTTGTTTCCTTTTGTGCTTGAAGACAGATAGCATTGACTATATATCTTAATATGTGAAAATGGAAAGTCTGATTGTTCAGCTTGTTGTTTTATACTTTGTAGGCACTGCGTCAGATTGGGGAAGCTCCACCAGTTAAAACACACGTGGATTGCATGGCATCACAGAGACTTATTCGCCTGCCAGGTAAACTATAGAAATCTGGAGTCGTGGCGGATGCGTGTAAAGGAATTGGAGGGGTCTCCCGAGTTAGATGTTTAAACTACTTAAGGTGTCTATGCGGAGTGGAGGTTTGGCCCTGTACTTCAGGCATTGCTTGTATAATTCGGGGTATGTCTTTATCCCATGTCTGTCCAAGTGGCCTAAGGTTAGTTTTGCTCGAAGTCCAGACATCCTTGGACATTGGCTCCATGAGGCTCACATGGTGAAGAGGTGGATTTCCTGGAGGGTTGTCTGTTTTATCTTCATCTTTATGCTTTGAGAACACAGGGAATGTAGCAGCATGTTGAGTTGATTTACAGATTGGTAATTTCAGTTATTGGACATCTCCATTTGCCAATGGAGTCACTCTTCTAAACTGGATTTCCCAATCTGTTTGTCTTTCTTCCCCAGGGCTGATTGATGTCCACGTCCACCTGCGTGAACCGGGAGCCACCCACAAGGAAGATTTTGCCTCTGGCACTGCAGCAGCCTTGGCAGGAGGTGTCACTCTGGTGTGCGCAATGCCCAACACAAACCCTGCAGTACTAGATTCCAGCTCACTTGCCTTGGTCCAGAAGGTGATGTTCTCAAAAGGTTCATTTACCCTGAAAAGTCAAAATCTGTGACAGTCTAAATGCAAGAATATTCCAAAACCAGGGACATTATAGCCAGCTTGGGTATTGACAGTCAGTTTGAACAAAAGCTGCATGTGTCTTGTTTATAATTGTATTGCTTGCCAAGCTGGTCCTCCTGTCTCCCAGCCTTTGTGCACAGTGTGTGATAACCTGTCTCACTCTCTCATTTCAGCTGGCTAAGGCAGGCTGTCGTTGTGATTATGCTCTCTTTCTTGGAGCTTCCTCGGACAATGCTGCCATTTTGCCTTCAATTGCAAGCTCTGCAGCTGGTTTGAAGATGTACTTGAACGATACCTATTCCACTCTCAAAATGGACAATGTATCCCTCTGGATGGAGGTTTGTATAAATGAAAAAATAAGTGATTTCAATTGCAGCCATAGAATGAAGTAATCTGCTTGCCTCTGCCATTTAGCCCTTTTTGTAAGATATTTAATATTTCATATGACAGGTTTGTGCAATTGAGGTGTTGCTGAAATTGCACATAATTTCAAATCCTAATTAAAACACCATGGCAGGGCAGTACAACAATATCAAAATTAAATCAGTCTAAGCATACAGATTGTTTATTTAAAGTCTTATAGAATTCATGTTTGACCATGTGTTTATTTTCACTTTTTCGAATGTACTAGGTATATTGTAAATCTTTAATTGACCAGTTCAGAATTTTGAAAAACACCTGAAAAAAATGCCCACCCAACTGTGGAAAAGAGGGGGAGAATTAATTGCGTTTCACCAAATTATTTTAAAACAAAGCAACAAAAAAGGGACAGCCATTTGCTGCTTGTTCCAACAGGTATTGTTCCTAAGTGTAGAAATTAAACTGCTGAATTTAGGCATTAAGTAATTTAGACTCTTAGTTGATTGGGAAGAGTTTCAGCCTTCACACTGTGGATCACTGGGAAGGTACTGTTCATTTCAGAAAGTTCTGAAGCCTGCTGTAACACAACAGTGTCATCCATTTGGACAAGTTTTGTGTGCACTTTACCTTACTGTTAAGCACTGAAAGAGAAATCTGAAGAAGTCTCTATTCTTTCTCTAGCATTTTGAGAAGTGGCCAAAGCACATGCCAATTGTTGCCCACGCAGAGAAGCAGACGGTTGCTGCCATTCTGATGGTGGCTCAACTGTACCAGCGACCAGTTCATATCTGCCATGTGGCAAAGAAGGAAGAGGTAGGATGAACATGTTGTTTTACTGGTCCTTTTTGTCTTTCAGCATTAATAATAGACATCTGGAAATGGTATCGCTATGTTTTGAGAAGCTAATTGAGACTATAACTTTAAGTGCTTCCTTTTAGGATTATGTAAATTAAATGTAATAGATGCCTTTAAATGATAAATAAAACCTAAATATTTACACAGGCATTCAGTAACCAGTAGAAGTGGAAAGACCTGAAATCATGTTTAATTATTTACACATTCAATTTCCTGAAGTAACAGATGAAATGTTGTTAGTCTGGGTATAATCAAAGAAAAGCTGGAGCCTAGAGTGTGTCTGGATTTTGACGTTCAACAGATCAAGATCATCCGAGCTGCTAAATTGAAAGGGATCCAGGTGACCTGTGAAGTTGCCCCTCACCACCTGTTCCTGTGTGAGGAGAACGTGTCGGCCATTGGGCTTGGTAGGGCCCAGGTCCGCCCCATGCTGGGCACAAGGGAAGACATGGAGGCCCTGTGGGAGAACCTTGACATCATCGACTGCTTTGCCACGGACCACGGTGAGTGAAGTGCAAGGTTACCATGCCAATGGGATTCTCTCCTTTTTGTAAACGCTGCCTTTGTTAGCAGCATCAGTCTCGTGGTGTAAATACTCCCATTTCCGCCACAGGTATGACTGCAGTATGGTTTCTCACATAGCTCTTGTAAAGCTGGTTTGGAGCCTTCACTGTGTAGGTGGCAAAATCTTTAAAATTGTACAAAAGCGTTAACGTTTTACCATTAAAAGGTTAGTTTAAGGAGTTGTACTAAACGGAGTAAAACCATTACACCAAAGCTATGCTAAGTTAAAACTAAGAGAGAGTCCCATGGCTATTGTTGGTATTGGATTTATTATGACTTGTGCATTTTGGTGAAATTTGTAGTTGTGGCAGAGGCAAATGACTGATGTCAGCTGATAAATAATTACACTTATTTAGACGGTGTCATGAGATTGGGAAAAAAATGTTTGAAGTTGTGATTATTTTAGACTCTCTTTAAAGGAGGGTGACTTCTATGTAAAGAAGCAAACAAAATGTGCTTTGGACCGACTGATGGCAGCAGTTGTCTTGTTGTTAGTTTGAAGAAGACTGGCCTGTTAATGTTTAGAATTAGTTTGCAATATATTTTGAGGCAACAAATCACTTATGTATTTATGGGATGTACCAATTTTACAATTTAGAATTTAATTACTTTAATGCCAGAGCCATATGATCATATTTTGTCATACCTAAAATTCCTACTACTTTTTCCTGGCTTCTTTAGGTTACTGTACAATCCTTACTAGGCTATGGTACATGTTGTATATAACTTTTTATTACAAAAATGTCACCTGCATTTGTCTTCATTGAACATCAGCTAGTATCGGCAATCTGGTATCTCTTAAATCCATGCTACACATATATTTTTTTTACTACAGCGGGTGCAGAACATGCTATAGTTTGTAATGTGAGTGTTAGCTGGTTGCAGTTTAGATATTGACTGTAAAACGCGTAAAATGAGATCCAGTCACCTCTAGGATAGTGCATCATGAGTTGTTGGGGACTGCTTTGTAGTTAGTGTGACACTTACCTAATATTAAAGCTGAGTTCACTTACCACTGGCTCGTCTGACTCAAATCAGGATTAATATATTACTCCGTCCTTTAGAGAATATTTATTGTTTGATGTGCTTTATTTTTGTATATTGCTATATGATGTATGGGAACTCTCTGCTCATACATCTATTTGTGTCTCTTGGTTTGTAGCCCCTCACTCTGTGGAGGAGAAGGACATGAAGAATCCACCCCCAGGATACCCTGGCCTGGAGACCATGTTACCGCTGCTGCTCACTGCCGTGAGTCAAGGCCGACTCACTGTTGACGACATTGTGAAGAAGCTGTATGAAAACCCCCGAAAGATCTTCTCCCTGCCTGTCCAGGAAAACACCTATATAGAGGTATTTCTCTCTTCACTGCTACTAGTGTACAATGGTCACTGGCCTCAATAATGGTGAGGAAGATGACAATTGATTACTTTTGATTACAGCCATCAGTGAAACTACTCACAAAAGCAATTGCAGTTTACAATTACAGTTTTGATTACTTGATTACATGTTATTTATGTTATGTTATTACATGTTACTGTTTTTGCTATTGTGTTACTGTATATTGTCTTATCTTCTGTCCTATTTATATAATGCACCTGAGTGACTAATGAGAAACACTTTTCATTATACCTACGCACCTGTGTAAGTTTAATGACAATAAAGTTGAATTGAATTGTACTCCTTCTTATGAAAGCACCAGAGGCCAATGTCTTGGCACTTTCATCAGAACAATTTTGGTACATGCTGTCCTTCATACAGCCATCTGCAAATCCCCAGTAACACATTGTTCTAGGCAGATATTTCATCAAATAACACTTTTCCATAAAGAAAATTGAGTTTTTGCATTGTCAAATCTTTTTTTTAGGTCTGGGTTTCATTTACTGTGTATGAATATAAACCTTTTTCCTTCATAGCCATTTGCAGAGGAAGGTGTGACAAATAGGATTGATCAATATTACCAATATACTGTTTGTAAAAACTGGCAGTATATGGAGTTAAGCCTTTTCTCTATATACTAGACCAGGTTTAATGTTGAGATACTGGAATTAAAATTAAAAGTAAAAAATGTATTTTAATGGACTTTGTTTTAGAACTTTAGTTCAAGGAGAATGACTGAAAATGTATTCCTCTTTGAATTCAGGTGGACTTGGAGCAGGAGTGGACGATTGCAAGCCACATGCAGTTCACCAAGTCCAAATGGACTCCCTTTGCAGGCATGAATGTGAAGGGCAAAGTGAGAAGGGTGGTGCTCAGAGGAGAGGTGGCCTACATTGATGGCCAGGTGAGGAAATGGAGAACAGTCGTGAGCTTCAATGAATTGGATTGTGCAGCAGGATGACGTTTATAAACCTTTAACCTAGAAAACCTGGAAAACTGTGACCTAGAATTGGTACTCCCAATGCAGGATCAAAGGTGTTTGAAAGGCACTCATTCTGAAAAGCGTCTGAACCTTTAGTTTCTAGCTTCAGAAACCTGTCATGGCAGCATATCATTCAAAACTATACCAATTAGAAAAATGACATGCCTTTATTTCCCAGGTGCTGGTACCTCCAGGGTATGGGGAAGATGTCAGGACATGGTCACCAAGAATGCCTACTCCTCTTCCTGCTGAGTTGGCAAAGGACAGCACCAAGGTACGAATTACTCACTAAACTCAGTCAATGTCAGTTACTGCTGTTACATAAGTACATTGTCTCTGGTAGATATTTATCTTACTGTTTTCCAGTTGTATGACTTTATTAAATTAGGCCGATTTAAAGCTTTTAATGTTTTGCACCCCGTTTAATCAGGTGCTGTACAGAAATTTAGGAAATGCAGAATGTACAGAATGTTGAATGGTACAGTTGGGTACACAGGGTACAGTTTGGATTCTGCTTTCAGTGGATATTTCCCTCTCTTTATGGCTGTAGTTTCTGTGTACTTCTGAGGCAGTTGAACACGTGTGGTTGGCGAGGGCTCTGCAGTGCAGAAGCCCATCCTGTCGCCATAGGTTTGGGGGGGTGAGGGCTGTGGCAGTAATGGCAGTGTGTTGGTGACAGACTCCAGAGCGGACCCGGCAGGGAGAAAGGGGAGAGACTATCCGCACCCGCGTCCCCAGCCCTCGGAGAGTCACCCCCGGTGCCGGTGACAGCCGCTTCATGTTGCCTCCCAGGATCCACAGAGCATCTGACCCCGGGCTGCCTCCAGGTAATGAAGAAAGACTCCGGAGCACGTTACGCTTAAAGTATTAAAGTGTGGTGCACTCGCATAGGGCAGAGACTGTAAAACGAGGAAACACTACTTGTTTGGAAAGCATCTGCTAAGGTACCACACCCAGTGCCCTGTGTAACACTTCGCTTGTTTCTGTTTTGGTTGTTCTCTGTAGCCTAGGCACATGCCTACTGAAAAGTATGAATATGAAGTCCACGTTAGCAGCTATTTACAGCTGTTCTGCCTATATAAGGACAATCATTACTGAGACTAGTAAAATGGTCATAGATATGTATCTAACAAGCAGCGTGTAGGGTTGGGGTTCTGTCATTTGTTGCCTTGTTAATCTTAGCTCTGACAATTTTGTAGTGCTAGGAAGCAGCACCATATAAAGAGACTTCCATTTTAGCTTTTGCATATGTAAGATAGCATCCATTAATGTCTGTTTCACCATTATCTGGGTTCATAAACTCATTATGGCTAACTTATATTGTGTTGTAGCCTCCAGCTCAGATTTAGAAAAAACTAAGTGCGGTCAGCTGGAAAATGCCATCATAGAGTGCAAAATACTGTATTTGTGTCAGGAATACATATATATATTCAGTCTTAATCTCTATCAGCCATCAGTGAAACGACTCACAAAAGCAATGAGATGATGGTTCTTGGTCCTTTTGCTCTTTCATCCAAAAGCCTAGTATGTCCTAAAACATTTCACCGATTGAATAGAACACTTTCAATGAAAGGTACGAGCCAAAACTCTTGAGAGAAGACAGCGCACTGATACATTCTCTGTGACTGTAACATTCATGGGTACCCCTGGCACATTTCAGATCACACACTGCAACAGAATGTGAGGCCCACATGTCCCTCCCAAACCTACCGTCGCGGATTTCTCTCTAAATGGTTACAGTCCATTTTCATTTAATTCCGTCTGTAATACTGTCAAGAATTTGACTGTTCCCTGTCTAGATCTTATTTGAATAGTAAGTAGGAAGATAAAAACATTCTGTTTGAAGACTATACTTATAAAGGCGGTTAAATTTCTTCATTAGAAATTCACATTGAAAGTATGCTCAAACTACATTTCATATTAATATTTTTACATTTAAGTAACTGACTTTAAATCTGGAGTGAGCAGTACACTTGTTTATGAGGTCCAGAAGCATAATAAATGGGGTTTTATGGTTAGTCCACTCAGGAGAAGGTCCATGTTACTATTACAGTGCCTTTTTTAAAGAAATATTAATCTGCAGATTTTTATTTTCAAAATGCCTTAAATAGACTTTAGATCCATGACTTTAAGGATGTCCAATGTTGTCTGCAGGTTCCAGGAAAACTGCCTCAAAGACCTTTCTGATCCACTCAGGCTTTGGTAATGTTTAGTTGATGTGCCTGCGGTCGACCCAGCCTGTGTGATTTTTAAAGCAGTCTGTTTTCAGAAATAATTTCCAGCAACAAATCAAAGCTAATCAAATATAACTAGAAATAGGGAATGCACCTTGATCATCGGAGGCCTTGCTATTTTTGAGAATGGAGATGCTTTTAATAAAGGAATTAATGGCGAAGTTTTTGCACTCCACTACAATAAAATAGTTAAACTGTAATGTGCAAAAACCTCACCTACATACAAGTAGGAAAAATATTAAAACATTTACTGACCACTGAATTTTGACATGTAAACAGCTTTTCCAATTAAAATCTACACACGACAAAGTAGGGAATATTTATTTTATGAAATCTTTTTTTCAGAAGGAGATAAAATGGATTAACACTGACCAACTCTAAAGTAACAGTATTTCTTTCAAAGCATTATATTAATAAGTACAACCATGCACAGTATGTACAGTATGTGGGTATTAAAATTGCTCTGTATGGTTATAACAGTAACTGATTTATTACAAGCACTTTATCTTCAGAGTATCTTAATTAACATTTCAGAGATGCTGTATGTTACATCAAGAGATAGCAATGATAATTTTGTTTGGGGTGTCATAAACTCCTTAAAGACACTTTGTTACAGCTGCATGCAAGTCCCAATGCCAGCCAGCATTGACAAACGTTTTTAAGTTGATTGCAAATTCTTACTAAATGTATCCTTCTCACTTAGCAGAGGTAATGAATTTAAACGGTGTGAAAATCAGTTTGACACTAGCCTGGTGTTTTGTGAATGCACTCTTTTCTTATATAATTTATTCTGTCTAGGTAAATGTTCTTCTAATGCTTACCTCGCTTGGTATCTACATCACTGTTTCCCAATGCTTTCCAGTCAGATGTTTAAATAATAGGTTTTGTGCAGTATACCTCTCCTCTGTGTAATAAAATGTCCAAGGTGGTCTTAGTTTACATAAATTGATTGTAACGGTCTGTACAGTAACTCCATGTTTCTTAGATTTTTTTTCTCAATTTCAATATGATTTGGAAAAAAATTAACATGTTCAATTTTGGAAACCTTTACAGTGTGGGCAATGATTGGTTTCAACATTTTTTTCTCTCCTATGTGGCTATTCCAAAATTCTATGCTTCACCTTAGTTGGGAAACACTGGTATATGATACATCAGGTTTTTATTGTAATGATGCATGATTATACATTTTGCATCAGTGTGATCCAACTTCACCAGTCTTGATTTCTGTCAGTTTCCGTTCTTCACCAAAGGCAGATTCATCTTGTTACCAAAATAAAGATCAGTGAAAATGCAGAACTTATTTCCATTTTACCCATATTATCCAGTTTAATAATCATAGAGACAGGTCTACAGCACAGTCCCAGTCCAGTATCTTATGACCCACTGGCGTTCATTACAGCTGTGCCAAATCTACTTAATATAAACCCTTCCTGAGTTGTTTTCAGTTCTATTACAGATTTTAATTTTAATATTTTTTTGAAAATAAAGCTGAAAGTCTGTTGAACAAATCATTGTCATATTTCTTTTAAGGGGAAAGTCACATCTAGCCCTTGGGGTTGTTTGTATTGAAAGTAATAGAAAATGCCCAGTAGTGACAGTGATTCAAGTTCCTATAGTGCAGAGACTTTATAGTACTTATAATTTTCAAAGGTCATGACCGGCCAGTGTCCACTTTTTGTTAGTGCAATAGTACAGTTAACTTTGTTTAGTACATCTGATCTTTAGTCCCCCAGATTAATTGTGCACATGCTATTGGCTCAGGTCAAAGTTGCTGAACAACAGAGTTTTTGGTTGCATTTGTTATTGTCACTAACTGGTGTATTTTAATTTTCTGTACTAATTTTTAAACAGCTGAGGAGGCAAAGGAGAAACCAATAAGAGCATCTTTTGATCAAGGTTTGCTGTTTGTTTGTAGCTCCGTTTTAGCTGAGATACTAACTTCTTTGTTTCTTTATGGCCTTATAAATTATGTCCATTTGCTCCTTAAATGCTAATACCTGTTGTTTTTGTCGCTAGATGGTTATATAGCTTGCTTCTTCTAAGTCTAGCAACATTTGTGCAATGGTAATTGGAGGAGTTCTACTGATGCAGATTGGGAAAGAAATGCAATTATTTTGTTTAATAAACGCTTTTCTAACAACCTAATCATTTGCAGTGCTTTTAAAAATATTTTAGTTTGACTCCATCGCATACTTGTTTAAGATGGAATCTGTATGAGTTGCACCATCAGTATTGTGAAAAGCAGTAGCTTGGGGTGGGGTGGGGTGGAGGGGGTTTTCTAAGATCCAGAAAAACTATAACACTGTTTCCAGTTTTAGGTTTTCTTTAAAAATAGTGTTCCTAAAAGGAAAAACTCTTGTTTTCTCTAAATCTTTCCCTGCCTGGAACAGACTCTCTTTCCCTGGATGGCGCCTCTCATCATCCTGCGTTGGGTCGTATCCTGTCCCCTCAGACCATAGGACACCAAAGTGTCAGTCACCTGCAGACTTCTCCTCTCCTGCATCCCTTCATTGGGCAGCACGTCCTTTCTGTCCAGCAGTTCACCAAGGAGCAGGTAACCCTTGTTAACTTGACCAGCTCACTGGATTTGCACATCGGATTATTTAGCTCCTTTGCTAGCCTGATAGGGAATCTTTCCAGAAGTATGCCCACTTGCAATCTAGGATTTGTATAGTAAATAGGAAGCCATTTTTTTCAGGGGATGTTTATATTTAGCAGGGGATTTAGAAATTCTTTCCTTATAGGTGTGTGATGTTTTGAGTATCTTAGCCCTTCTACAGACAATCTTTTGTTCAGGTTGCAAATGTAACCTGTTCAGTGCAATAACCTGTGTTTTCCTGTCAGATGTCCCACTTGTTCAATGTGGCCCATACCCTTCGCTTGATGGTGCAGAAAGAGAGAAGTCTGGATATTTTGAAGGTAAGGGCCTAAGATTTTATCAAGCAGCTATTTGTATTTTTTAGTGAAAGTTCAGAAACATTGATCTTGAATCTCCTTCTTAACCCTTAACATTTGTGTGGACAGCAGCATCCCTATGTCCCCAGTAAACAAATTAATTTTCTAAACTTTCTAAACCTGTATTTACCCTGTTTAATTCCTAAGTAAAAATTACCACAACCAAAGCCTTCAGGTAGCAGTTTGAAGCTCTATCCAATCTGTCATCCTTTACTTAACTTTGGTAAATAACACATCTCCACTTTATTTCTTTGAATTTTTGCTTTTTGCTATGGAAAAATATGAAAATATCTATACAAATGTCTACCAGAAGATGTTTTAAATGTTCAGTGATGATGGATATTTTAAAAGTATTTTGGCTTATATGGAAACATGCTGTTCTAAAATGGTCACAATATGGATTGAGCCAATTATTGATTTTATTTCTAAAAGTCATTTATATAGATGTTATACACCTGAAAACCTATCACCCTGATGATTCCACTCTGAAATTGAGCTAATGTGCATGAATTATTTTATACTGAGAACTGGACCAAAAAAAAATCATTTGAATGTCCTTGTTTGCAATGTGGTAATAGCTAAGTTGAATCAGACTGCCAGTTGAAAGAGCTCTCCAGACGACTTCGACATCAATTACTTTGCATTCTCCATGGAGAGCAGAGCATTTTTTGTACTGGAAAATAAAATGGGAATTTATTTGCCTTCTGTAAAAAAAATTATATATTTTTGTGATTCAAAATAAGCTTCAAACTTTCTTCATTCAAATGCTAGTGTGCTCATTTTATGACATACTTTATAGGCCTCTAGTGTTGCTGATTTAAAAAAAAAAGCAATGAAATGACATTGCGATTAAAATTATATCTGGTGTGCTACTTTTATATATTTATTTTATATATATTTTTAAAAGCTGATTCCCTTCTGGTGTGAAACCGGGTGTTTGAAATTGTAAATGGTAATGCTGTACACTGTAAATTAAGCTATAAGGGTAAAAAATTGTCAGTTCAGCCACTGAAGGCTCCACCAGTCTTGTGTGTAATCAAGCTTGTTTTGCCTTGCAGGGTAAGGTGATGGCCTCCATGTTCTATGAAGTGAGCACCCGCACCAGCAGCTCGTTTGCGGCGGCCATGCACAGACTGGGAGGCTCTGTGGTTCATTTCTCGGAGTCCACTTCGTCCAGTAAAAAAGGGGAGTCCCTGAGCGACTCTGTGCAGACAATGAGCTGCTATGCTGATGTGCTGGTGCTGCGTCATCCCCAGCCTGGAGCTGTTGAGGTGAGGAGTAGAGAGGCGATACGATAAAACTATAAGGTCTCTAGCAAGAAAACAATGTTAACCAGATTCAGCTAGAACATGCATAAGAACAAGTACAAGTTAGAGGATCTACCCTTTTTTTGATTTTGTTTTGTTAGTGAATTGATCCAAGAATCTCACCCACTTCTGGAACGAAACCAGGGTGTTTCCTTCCAGACCACAGCCGAACGAGCTTGTCTCGGTTTTAAATGCAGTTCCTCTTCGTGTTCTGTTTGTCAGCTGCACCGACTCTCATAGTTGATGAGTTCATTAATGAAGTGAGTTTTGTTATTTTTCAGTGTTTGAGGATGTTATATACTTGAATCATTGCTCCTCTTAATCTTCCCTTTTAAGGGCTAAAAAGGATAACACCTTACAGTCTAATTACTGCCAGGTGTTTGCACAGTCCTGAATTGTGCTAGCTTTACCAGAATCTAGATTTATGACATAAACTGTAGTTAGGGCAGTGGTCCAAATGCATATCCTTGTGGTACTCCACTAATTACATCGCCCCAGTCTGAGCATTACTCCTAATCTGTGCTGTTTTAACGAGATAGCAATTTAAAAATATTTCCTTGAAAAGCCTAGAGCCTGCAATTTGAGAATTGCTCATTCAAGATTAACTGTCATAATACTTCTGAAAGTCTACATATAGTATATTATATGCTCTGTATCCATTAATGTTGCTGCTTGTTTAAAGAATACTAACAAGTGAAACCTCCTTTTCTAAATCCACATTGACTGCAATCTTATTACCATAAAACTGATTCTCTAAATTTGTTTTCATAACCTTGTTATATAATTGACGGGAGACTTATTGGTCTGTAATAACTTAGTTCACATGTGTTATGCTTCTCATAAAGCACTCCATTACCAATTTTCCAGTCAGTAGTGTAGCATACTAGGGGTATGATCCATTCATGCTTTGTGATAAAGTGTGATTATTTGCAGTCTATTTGTGTTTAACAGCAGTTGAGGTGTAGAGTTTAAAAGGAGATTATATCTGACAACACTTAGTAAACAAAATTGTATTCATTTTTGATCATAAGTTTTAAAAAAAGAAAAAAAATGTTAAGTATCATATGTTATACTCATTAGGTGTTAGGTTGTAAGTCAGATGAGGTGATGCGCTCATAAAAGCCAGTCGTAAAGTGACAGATAGCTGATCTGCAGGACACCAATGCTGTTTGATCCCTGCAGACTGCAGCTAAGCATTGTCGGAAGCCTGTTATCAATGCTGGGGATGGTGTGGGCGAGCACCCAACACAAGCCCTGCTGGATATATTCACTATCCGAGAGGAGCTGGGAACTGTGAACGGCATGACGGTAGGTCACGCTCCAGCTCAACTCGGCCTTCCTGTCTGGAGAAATAATAGTATGTTTATTTCATCTGAAGAAGCCTGAAATTATTTTTTCTGGTTGTTCAGCCTTTTACCGGTAACTCCTTGTTTTTGTTTTTTTGCTTTTGACTTTTTCTCCTAAATCAGTCTGCTTGCACAGTGTAGTCGTGGCAAGGTTTGTTGTCAGTGTTGCTGGACATGCACATTGTTACGTTTGGATTTGATGCAGTAAATGTACACATCCACATAGAAAACTATGCTTTTAATATTACAGGTCACTGGAAAGGTAATTTTCCCAAGTTTATCTACAAATTAATATCCAGTAGGCACATTGCAAGCAGACCCCTAGCTATTAATATAGAAGAATGAATGTGAAAAATAATGGGGAACTGGAAGATCGGTCAGTTGTGAAGGATCAGACATTGTACAGAAGTGTATGTCCTGGCAAAGGGTTAGAACGTTGTCCAATCTCTAGAGCTCTATCGTAGAGTATATTGTATAGTATATAGTAGTATATTGCCTTGTAAAGGACTGAGGGCCCTTGCAGACAGGATTTGACTGTTCATTCAATATTCAGATCACGATGGTTGGGGACTTGAAACATGGTCGAACTGTCCACTCCCTGGCCAGGCTGCTGACTCAGTACAGAATTACTCTGCGCTATGTGGCTCCCAAGAACCTGCACATGCCTCCTGACATCATCAACTATGTAGCTTCCAAAGGCATCAAGCAGGTGAATATTCTTTTGTTTCAACTCTGACCTGAGTTTCATTTAATGTATTATTAGCCTATATTCTTTACAGATGTTCCTACAACCTTAGGTTTTTGAAAGGCCTCTTTAGCACAATACTAGGTCTCCCATTACTATGTTTAGACTGGCTGTTGACTGAAGCTGTCACTGGCTTAAAAAAGACAGCCAGCAGCTGGATTCACAGATCCTAATTGTGGGTACTAATGTCCTCTGTTTCATACAATAGAAGTTATGTCTCTATAGCAGGGATTGTAGTGTCTGTATGTATAGTTCATTAATGTACACTCATTTTTTTAATGATTAATGATTCTGGGATGTTTTAATCTAGGGGTTTTAAATTGCACTTCTTAAATGTAGAACAGTTATCAACATTATTAAGTTACAGATTCGTTAATAAAGCTTTTATATTTCTGAGAATCTGATATCTGATAATAAACATGTACTTTTTTAGCTTGATGCTTACTGATCCTTCCATAATATTTTAAAGCTATTAGTCTTCTTAAGTTAAGAATTTTGAAATAGTATTTGTAGCCCCTAAACAGAAGTGTTACTGTGTTTTTGTTAAATGAGAATCTGTTTAAGGGGGTAAATGTGTTGTCTTCTCACCCTTCTGCTATGAACATGTGTTGGTTATGTTTAAAATGGGCAATTTTGATAATATTTTAAATCCAGGTCCTTAAAGCGAGGTCAGTACAGATCTCTTGGGTTAGTGTGAAAACTAGTTTGGAACTCTTTCTCTTCTGATAACTATATATATATATGTAATGGCTATATCAGACCCATGCCATCTCATCAGGGAACTAAGATAAAGTTGTAAAATCAGTTACCAAAGCAAAACCCTTCATCTCATAGCCTCAGTGTCTATTTAAACTGTTATTTTTTACTTCACATTCCTAATTTGATATCCAACGATAACTAAAAAAACTCAGAGAAGTGGACATAAAAAATTCACGAACCCACAGTCAGTTCAGAACAACTGACACTCTTGAAGACTTTATTCTGTAGCTCTTTCATCAAACATAATTGTAGCATTGATATGCATTTCAGGTTAAATAGAATTTGGTCATAGGTTTTATGTTATTTCTGCATATCTGTGCACTCTATATTTCTTTACTACACTCTCAACTACCTGTATCTAGTGCACAGTTGAACAGTGTCTGTGTTCTGAATTTAGATTTTCATGTTTGCTTAAAAGATTTAAAGCAAGGCAGAAAACCAATGTGTGTTTTGGTCTTGATTTTTTAATCTACAAGTCATACAATATTTCCTCATTGAAATGCAGTGTTCTGAATTGACAAGGGGGAAATGGACAGAACCATAGCATAGCGTTAGCCAAACATTGGTCAGTGATGTAAAGACATCTAAGGGACGTAAGGACTTCAGACGGAAGACAATCGCCAATGGATATTAAGTCGGACTACATTGCCTCATCTTCCGTCTGAATTACTTACATCCCTTAGATGTTTTTATTTCACTTCAGAGGTATTGGCTAAGCTTGTTTTTCAAAACTACCTCCTGATGGTGATACTGTCTGTGTGCATATTATTCTTCTGTTTGATAGCCAGGATGTAAGTGAAATTACCATTTAATGACAATTGTGCTGAAGTTCCACATGCTTTTTCTTAACATTATCTTCTTTCCCTTCCCTCTCGCGCAGGAGGAATATGATAGCATTGAGGAGGCACTCCCTGACACAGATGTGCTGTACATGACCAGGATTCAGAAGGAGAGGTTTGCTTCAGAAGAAGAATATAACGCTGTAAGAATTTAATTGCCTTCTTACCTCTTTAAAAAGGGTCTCATACTAATTTCTTAATAGGGTCAAGTGTTTTATGTTTTTATGTTTCAATCTGAGTAGTCAATTAAATCATTAATCTGTTTGATATGGAAAAAGATTCAACACTTCTTAGATGTACTACTGTATATATAGTATTCTTCTGCAGTGGGTCTTTTATAGTTGGTTGGTTGCTTGAAACATATACTTCAGTAAAGATACAATTTTCATTTCACAAAGTGGTTTGTCTTTCGATATTTTTGTCCAGATGGACACTTCAGATTAAAAACATTTCCATTAAAATGTATCATTTCACTGTGAAAATGAACTAAGTGGGAATACATCATTTAGGGAATTACTGTATACGGAGGAACAAAAATGCGGTGTGCCCCTTGCAGTTTCAAGCTTGTGTCACTTTCTTGTTTTTGTAAACATGGACAACACAGTTTATTGTTGTAAAGAGGAAGGAAGCAATTCGATTTTTTTTGTTTCTTGAACTGATGTAGATCTAGGCCCCAAAAGTGACTACAGTGTATTGTTTTCTGCAGTGCTTTGGGCAGTTTATCTTGACTCCACACATCATGACTGGAGCTAAAAGGAAGATGGTGGTAATGCATCCTTTGCCCAGGGTGAATGAGATCAGGTAGGACACTGGTTTGGGGGGGCTTCACAAAATGTCCACTTTTCTTTTCATCCCTTTCATGGCCACAACATTATTTGGAGCAGATCAGAAAAAAAACAAAACAAGTCTTATTGCTGTAGCTGTTTTGATGACAGATACTTGGGTTGATTAGGCATATGGTCAAGTTATGCTTTTGTGGAAGATGTGAAAAATAAACCTACCACACCAACCTACCACAAGGATTGGTAGAGCAGAGCAACAGCAAGAGCAACTAACTAATGATGAGGGGTGTCAATGTGACACGCCGCCCAGCAGCACCGTAGCAAAATCTGCAGGTGAGTGTCCTGATAATGCCATTCAGGCTCCCTGGTCCTGGAGGGTCTGTTTCTTTTCAGGCCATGTGGGCAGAATTTACTCATTATTGGCTGAATTGAACCTTATTAAGAGCCTCTCCCAGCTCTTCAGATGCTGGTGCTTTAAAGAAACCTGGAACACCTGCAGACATACTGGCCCTTGGACCCCAGATCATGGCTGTTTCAGGTGGAGTGAATGATTCATCATCAAACTGATGTTCCTCATCAAGGCAACGGGAAACTTTGTTTAATGTTTGTTGACTTGCCACCATTATTCCGGTCTTTGAGGAGAGCCCTGGAAGGGGCATCCTCTACTTTTGTTTACTTGATATTTGTAAATCGAACAGCAAAAAGGTCAAGTATAATATCTTGCTTGATTACAGATAATAATTTAAGTGAATTTCACATTAATCCCGATTTGTAATTTTTTTAACATGTTAGTTTGACCTTTAATGTAATGCTTATTTTAATGGTTTGACTTTCACTGTAATTGTGTGCGTGTTACCATTTGATCTAGTCCATCACTCCGATTCAAAAGTATTATTTTTAATCGGATTGATGCAGACCTTTTTGTGACCATAATGCCTTTTCTATATGCATGGATCTTTTATTTAATGGTTGTGTCATTAGCCTTTGAGTAAGGTTGTTATTTCTGTCTCTGATGTGTAGTGTTGAAGTGGACACAGACCCTCGTGCTGCCTACTTCAGGCAGGCTGAGAATGGCATGTACATCAGGATGGCTCTGCTGGCTACCGTTCTGGGCAGATAATGGCAGTGACCTGGAAACTGCCTAAGAGTATCCACCCCACTCTTGGAGCAAGGCTATGGACCAACTCGGCTTACTTGCTGCCTCTGAAGGGACCAAAACTTCTGCTATTACAGACTGCAGTTTTTTATGTAATGGAAGTGGCTCATTTCTTGGATTTAACACAGAAGAAAAAACAAATTGAAAACTGAAAAGACCTCACTGACTGGTATTTACCCCAGTGATGTGTTCAGAGTTAAAGAATTGGACCGTTAAAGTTGGTTAGGCTGGCAGAAGGATATCAAATAGAAACTTAACCAATTACACACTGCGATTCTTCCTATCTGCGGTTTGTACACTTAAAATGAAACTCATTCCATATACTGGAACACAAATGTAAATTGGCTCTTGGGTGAAAGGGAGTCAATACCACTGGCAGAAATAAAGTACACCAATGCCTTTAGAAACTGTACACACTTTCGGGATCTTTTTAAAGATGGTAAAATAAGTTCCAAAGGTTTGTCGGCCAAACAGGTTTTAAGTCTGTTGAATTTGGTGTATTTGCCTTTTTTAATTTTGCAAATAAAATTTCAGTTTTTATGTATCTTTATCATTTATTTCCCCACTAGTGATTTCAGGACAGGCCCATAGCATTGCTAGTCTGAATGTTGAAAAGCTATCAATGTTGGAAAATTTCAAATAGGATAGTAGGATAGATGAGCACAGCAAAAGGTAAATAGTTACCCCTCTCTCCCTCTTCAGAACAGATTTATTTAGCTTGTAATTTCACAACAAACACCTTAACAAATGTAGCAGAGTTAAGAATAACTCACCCAAATACATATCCCATTCCTATTGTATAAAACAAGAATGCTGTTCAGTATATATACTGTAGTGGAATGTTAGTAGAAAAATGGTAATGAGGTCACCGTCTTTAGCTCACACCCCAGAATTCAATTTTTTTTTTTATTCCTGATCACTTTCTTAAACCTCAAACCAATGTTACCTAAACAAGGTCCTTTCTGTATAAGAAAGCTACTGGAGTTACACTGTGTGTACTTCAGCATTTGCTGCTACTGTACATATGGATTTTTACAATGGCAAACAAAGCTGTAACAGTACTGTATACTGTGGGAGGGAATGCAGTTTGCTGGCTGTGTTATAGGTTTGTTCATCACTGAGATAACACAACTAGATGGCAGTAAATTACCCTTTTAAGCAACTGGCATCAAGATGTCCCAGCCCAATACCCTTTACAGTTTCCTTTTGTGTACTGTGGGCACAGTTTGCCTTTGAAGACTGGAGTATAGGGAGAGAGGTTAAATAAAATATCTTCATATACCATTTAATATCTTGATATATATTAATTATTTTTTATATTGGAGGTTTACAGGAAGTGTTACTGATTAGAGCTTGAAATTGGATCCAAAAGCTGTGTTTCTATGTACAATTTTATCTACATGACCATTCATTGCATTTTATTTTCATCACAAAGGATCACAGAAGAGCTGGCTTGGTGTATCCACCACTGAAGTGCAGTGACCACATATATCTTGTGTCCTATTCTACATTGAACTTACTAGTGTAACCATGCTACGCTTGCTGCAGAGCCTTGCTTTATTTAAAGACCGAATTATAAGGACATCCATTTAATGTGTCCTCTGAAAAACAGTACCTCTTAAAAGCAAAGTGTCCTTTGCTGGCACACTTCTGGTCCAGATTGAAAAATACCACCTGTAATGCTTTATAGATCGCAGCAACCTGGTGATGCTTAGAAAAGTGATTTCCAAACTGTGCTGTGGATTCTGTAGACATCATGTATAAAAAAAAGCTCTAACCTCTTTATCCTTTTTTTCAAAATGACCGCATTAAAAAAAACAGTTAATTGCATTCATCACAGATGTTTGATTTGAGGTTTTGATAGATTAAACTTTTGCACACAATAAATAATTTTGACACTGAAACATTAAAAACAAGAGCTCAGACACATGGTATTATTTCTTGTTGCAGCTTGCCATCAGATCACCAATACAATTTTCAGGAAAGAAGTGGGGTATGTGTTCCTGTGTTCTGACACTGTGATGCAAAGCAATTCTTGGTGCACACAATTTTTTAGTGCAATTCCAGTCGTCCCAGGTAAAGCTATGCAACTAAACAGTATGACTATCCGCATACTTCAGACTGTTAAATACCACAGATACCTATATGCATTCCTACCAAATCCTGCACAAACAGGTTCTAAAAAAAACATGACCTGGCCTCTGAAACTAAATTCTCCCATTTACATCTATAAACCATGATCAGTGCTGATGGTATACCTGTACAGTTAATGTGCATGCCACTTTTCAGCTGCTGACAGCATGTAACAATGTTGGAGATGAAGAAAGTAAGGGACCTGCACACTCCAGCCTCATTTGTGCGGCTTGGTTGTTTATACATTTCGTTTTTATTCAAACTCATTCTTGGTTACCTTGGTTTACTTAATTAAAATTAACGGCATTTAGAATTGTAATACATTTGGTTTTCTTGGGTTTTTGTTAGTGTTTTGTTAGTGAAGAACGAAACGTTGTGATTTTTCTTTTCAGCATGGAATAAACCTATGACATGTTCTTTTGCAGTTTAAAACGTAGACGTGCAGTGTAGGCTAAATAATTATGTGGTTTCTTGCTTAATCAGAATATAAAATAAAGTCTAAATAGTTTCGAATTAAAAAAGTCACAAATGTTTAGTTAAAATACAACTTTAATTGCATTCCAATTTGCAATTTTTCCCTTCAATAGTTACAACTGTTCATCAACCGATTCGTTAATGTCAGCCTCGCATACAAACGACACTACAGCTAGCCATTTAACATATTGTAACGCATACGGCCACCATTGCAGATTGTTCGAGCCGGTTTACCAGCACGGTGACGTCACCGCCCTTCCCTGTGAATAGCATGGATCTCAGCCGTCAGGCTGACGGGCAGATTTCCCTTTGGCTCATGAGGCTTGGTCTCTGTTGGGTGATGCCGGAGGCCCGGATTCGAGTCCCCGACGGTGGAGGGCCGACCTGAGGCTACCTGAGGGTGCGTTCCCACGTGAACCCCGGAGCGTTACAATACTACTTATATTTACAATTAGGCATATACAATATTATACGCTTAGCATATATAAATACACAAACCCAGTGAATACATTTTTTTCTTTAATATTAAAATTCTATATTAAGAACAATCCATAAAATCTAACTACGTTGGTGGTATTCCAGTCACAAAGAACTAAACGTACTCAAAACATATTTCTTGTGCATAATCTAGAGGAATTAACCCCGAATCCTGCTTTTCTATTGGTAATAACCCTGGCGGGAACCTCTGGAAAATAACCTCTTGTTGTAATCCAGAAGAGATGGACCAATCCATGACAATGTTTTAAAAAGGATAACGCTAGCAGCTCTTCTCCAAGCATTGCTGTCTTGCACGCATGCGTTCCGGTACCTGACACCGGAAGTGCCCTGCCACGGCCGTTCCGCTTCCTGAAGCATTCGATCTTCCGAGCTCAGGGCAGTAGCACTTCCCGCTTGTGCGGTACTTACCAGGGAGTGGAAGCCAAGAAACCGAGCAGGAGTGTGGGAATTCCGGATTTCGAAGCGTGTGCCTCTATGATCCTACAACAGTTTTACAGCCCCCATTTTATTTGCACTAGGTAAGCCGGCGTGCAGCTTTGAAAGGTGACGAGTGGCCAGTGATCAAAGAAAAAAGGTGGTTTCTTTTTTGCTTTTACACCAATCGGTAAGGGTCACTTTAAAAGTTGAGAGAGGCAACAGCGAATTTAGATTTTCGAGTCTGAAACGACCTGCCCTTAATTGTATGGAGCCTAAAACAGAGCGATTATAAACCATGTGGAAGTCAGGTTAACGGATTGGGTCCGGGGGAGTGAGCGAGCTTGGCCGTCGGTACTGTGTTGTTTCGGGGAAAAGGTGTCTAATCAATAACTGGTGCGAATGTTTTATGAGATCTGGTGTCGGTCCGGAAACCCGTACTTAGACTTATCTAACCTTTATGTACTTTCGTTATCTGGAAACGGTGCTCTAATAAAGTACTAGCAATTAATCTTGTTTTTGTATTGGACATCTTACGTTCGGTGAGAATTTCCGTATACGGAATTCAGAGTTGGGAGATGGCAAAGACACGACAGACTAAACAGTATTTCTTTCTAAAGGGAGTTTACTAAAAGTTTTGTTAATTGCTTTCAAAGTTGCTAGAAACAACGTGAGTACTTTTCCAGTTGTTCTTTTTCGTGGCTTAGAAAAACTATTCACACCAGTGCTGTAGACTGCAAGTGTTTTTGTGGAACTAAGGTGGAATTCTTTATTTTTTCCCAGGTGTGTCCGATGAAGTTTTCTAGTGTGCATTTCAGAGTCACACGTTTTTTTGTACAAAGTAATATGTATTTGTAACTGTATATGTACATGGTTATTTTGAAATAGATCAGGATATAATTCAGAGTCACTTCTGTCAGTTAATAAGTGCTGTTCTATTAATACTGTTTCCACAGGCTGCTGTCCAAAGTCTCAAGTTAAACTGCTTGAGTTTTTTCTATTAGAGGGTGTATTCTAGTTTTATCAGCCTTGATTATATTGCTATGCTTTAGTAAGGCTAAGGTATTTTGTAGTTGGAGAGTGTCAAAGGTTTTTGGAAAGGCCTTAATAATTGGTTTTATGTGTTATTTTGGAGACTGTTGTATCAAAGCTTGTAGCAACTGGTTTTAATGCTAGGCACAGGCGGATTGTGTGTGGCAATATTGCAGGATGTTTTGCAACTGTTTTAAAAACGTAAGTCTAACTCTGGTTTTCTTTGGTAATCTTATGAATGTGCCCAAATGCACCTGAATTTAAGATGTCTTTCAATTGATGGGTATTTATAAAGTTTTTGTTTACACCTATAGATTTTTTTTCTTTCTAGCAACAATCTGAGCCTAAGTATCATGTTGTTCATCAGAGTAGCATCAGATTTAGATAGTTTTAATTGACTTCAGACTTTTCTCTGTGTTTGGCAACATCTTTTACCATCCTTATCACTTAGAGCAGAAGTTCCTAATCCTGGCCCTGCAGGACCCCACACCCGCTGGGTTTTGTTCCAGCCAAGCTCTCAGTGACACAATTCAACCGTTATTGACTTTAACAGGATTTATTTGATCTGTTTCACTGTTCTCAGCTCTCAAACTTGCGTATGAGGTCGTCTGTTAACTATTGCCCTTTGTAAGCAAAAGCTGAACTTTTGGGTAGAAACAAAAATTGCAAGTAGTCCAATCAAGTTTGCTTGGCTGGAATGGAAACCAGCAGGTGTGTGAGCCTCATGACCATGATTGCGAACTCCAGACTTTAAGCATTTTAGCGTTTGTGCTGAGTTTCCCTGACCTGCTGTGTAGTGGGGCTGCTGGTCACCCAAGAGGGTGCTGGGTGAAGTAGGGCCCCTCCTATATATAGAGAGTTTTTTGGGGATCCCTGGAGATGATAGCTGTTATATAAATGCAAGGAATGAATAGAAAAGAAACTGTACCAACCATAAAATCCATGGACGGAAAAGCACATTTTACATTGTGTTCTTAAAAACCATTGGTTAGCTTGGCACACATTGCTTAAAAGATGTTGGTAAAATGGATTGCCACTATGTGTGGCACGGTGGTGCATTGATTAGTATTGATGCCTCACAGTGCTGGGGCCCTGTCTTCAGTTCTGAACCTAGTGTGAGTGTGTGTCTGTGCATTCCCTGTGATGGATTGGCGTCCCATCCACAGTGTATCCTGCATCCTCGCACCTGTTGCTTGCTGGGATAGGTTCCAGCTTCCCCATGACTCTGTATTGGATAAAACTATTAGAAGATGGATGGATTGTAAGTATGTCAAGCTAAATTAAAGGTAAAGTTACAAAATTAATCAAAGACCAGGCTGGAGGTGAATTGCTGACCTGTGGGTATCCACACAAAAAGCATCTCCTCTTTCTCTTTCCCCTGCTAACTGAAGTGAAACCAAGGCAACAAAGGTGTTGTTTTGAGTTTCTGGTGGTGGTTTTCCATTGACAGGTATTTACAAATAAGCTGGGGAAGCTGGTGACGTGAGCAGATGATCCCTGTTACAGAGACGGTGATGTATTAGGGCAGCTTTCCCTGAGCCAGCAGAAGTGCTTCCTGCCTTGTTTGCACTGTCAATTAAAACTTTCTTTTAGCTCTGCCTCCTCATTGGTAAATGTCAGCAGTCTTCTTTTGCAAATAAGGTGCTGTTTGTGCTGGCCTAGTGTTAAACTGCTTGGTGTAATTCTAGCATCTTGCATAGTAGTGATGCACCTATAGGCAGCCGTTATACACCGGCAGCCCCACTACACAACAGATGAGGCAGAGAAAGGAGACATTTCTTCACCTATTAAATCAAAGGGGAGCTTTGCAAAGGCTAGATTGTATGAGCCCAGAGTTGAAATTAGCTGGGACAGCAGGGTTAACACCCCTCCTGTTTTGAAAAGTGCTCTGGGATCTGTATTGACCAAGTAGTCGGGACAAAACAGACTCTTTTCACATCACTATAAACAAGTACAATTTGGTGTGCATATGCCCAGTTCTTACTAAGAGACATTCTAAGCGGCAAAGTCCATTTTTGCAGAGGGAAGATGGTAAAACATTAATGTAATAACTGTAATTAAAAGTAAGTATGTTTTTCTTGTGGTTGTAATGAGCAGCTTTTTCATGCATGGCCTGTGATAATCAAAGGTCATGCTTAACACGGGTTTCAGAGTGTGCCAGGACTACAGTGGTGCTTCAGTACTGCTAATGTATCTTCCGCAGTGCTCCGTTGTTGTAACCAAGGTTGTAACTAAGGTGCTTTTCCTACCAACTGATAAAGGCTTTTTGACTTCAATAGATTTTTTCTATCCCTACTCTTTCTTCTGCTGTATTCAAAGTTTTATCTTGAAAGACACTGTAGTTATTTTCTGTCCATAGCAAAATACCGATGTGTTTCTGTTATATTACTTAATGTAGACCCTGGTGCTTAGTTGCATTCTGTACGACACTCTCCAGGAAAATAAGGACATGTTAATTGTTTGGATTGCAACAGTAATAAATATATCGAGGAAGTAAAACATATAACAAATGAGTTTAGCAGGATATTTTAATAAAATAAGAACTAACCACAGATGTATGTATTTGGCTGAAGGAATGGACTGCACATAATACTGGGGCACGTGTAGCACATTCATGTTCCAACCTATTGTCAAATCGAAGGTTAGTAAATACCTGAAGGGGTTATTTGTTTTGAGCATGAGGAGCAATGCTGGCATCCTATGCACCAACGATAGAAGGCTTTTTGTTTCTCTGTGGGAAAGCCTATTCCACTTAGTGACAAGTATACATGGTGTGAGTCATCAGCATCCAGTTCTCCCTAGTATATAGCAGATATAGATACAGTAGTGTGCTCTGTTGTGTTTGTGTCTGTTCCATAGGGTGACTGGTTCATCATATGCGTGTTGTGCCTTGCCAGGAACATCTGACAGATGTATGCAGAGTATGACACATGTATAGTCTTTGTAGGTGAGAATATTGTCTAAATACTATTAAGCAGTCAAATGGTTATCGGTAAATACTGGGATCTCTATTCATGCTGTTGTATTGTACTCCTCACATCACACCTCTACTTGTGAACAGATCCACTTGTGCAAAACAACACTGTCCTTCTAAATTGAAGAACCTGGGGATGATATTTGATCCAGGCTTGATGTTTAACCCACATGTGAAAAATATTGTAAAAATGTCATTCTTCCATCTCAGAAATATTACCAGACTATGTTCTATGTTGTCGCTAACTGTAGCTGAAAAGCTGGTCAGCACTTTCGTCTTCTCTTGAATTGAATACTGTGACATGCTACTCACTAGGGTGTCTAAATACACACTGAACAAACTTAATTATCTCCAGAATCCTGACCAGGTCTAGTGCAAGTGATCTCATTTCTCCTATCCTGGAGTCCTTGCATTGGTTTCCTGTTAGGTTTCGTGTCAACTTCAAAAACCTATAAGGCCCTGCATGGCTTGGCATCTCAGTACCTGTCTGAGTTACTATTGTCCTAATCCCACCTCACAACCTTTGTTCATATGTACTTCTGGTTTCCTGTCTGTTCCCCAAGCCTGTCTACATACTATGGGTGACATGGCTTTCTCCTGCTGTGCCCCAGAACTCTGGAATTCTCTATGGAGAATCTTCTGAAAATCTAAGGATATCAGAGTTACCTTCCATGAGCTCTTACAAATCAAGACTCAGAACTTTCTACTTGAGAAGGGCTTTTATTTAACTGGTTCTCTATCTCCTCTGTATCATTTCTACTATATTCCATACCCTAATTGTTAGTGTGATTCTGCTGTTTCCTCTCTTGTGTGCTTTTTTCTCACTGTAAAGTGTTTTGAAAAGCCACATTTAAAGGTGCTGTATAAAGTCAAGATTATTATTTAATCAACATGGATGGCAACCCACCTTGTGTCTGTGACATTCCCTCCTTAGCATCATAGCAGATCAGCTTGAACTATGACCCATCTACCTTTTGGCCAATTTCATTTGAATATCTTCATGGCTTGCCATGCCATATAGTGCTACTCTATATATACAACATATATGTTGAGCTCTTTCTGGGTTCACTGTTTTACTGTATGACAGCCAGTCCTACTAATTTCCAGTGTCTCTGTGCCATTTTGGGATGCAGAACGATGGCGATCTTGGAGCT